GGTGCCAAATTTGACATGGATGAGCTCTGAGAATACAGTTGAAGATAGTGGAAAAGGCTGACAAGATAATGGTATTGAGCTAGCACAGCTCACAGTATAATGGGCTGAGAGTCAATGAGGTGAGTATTTGATTGTGTACAGTTTTCTTGGACGTCAGGGACAGGATCTTCTCTAAATGAGAAAGTGTCTATGAGCATCTTCAGATGTGCTGAGTTTAAGATTGTACTCAGAAAGGAAATGAACTATAGGATCCATATGGTTACCACACACAAACGAAAAACGTTTGTAGTTTCGTTGTCTGATCTGCCAACTGTAACAACTGTTTGAAAATTATTTCAAACCAATTTACAACTTGGTGTGTATGGACAGATATTAATGCTTTAACTAGTCTAGAAAATGATATATTCCAGATACACCATTGACTGTACAGAATTGGCTGATAAAAAAGGCATACTTTTTGTGACCTGTACTAATATATTTGTCCCTCATTCACTATATGTCAGCAATATTGTTCAGAAGGATGTAAGACAGGGGTGTCAAACTGGCAGCCCACAGGCCGGATGTGTCATGCCAAAACCACGCCCACCCCATTGCCAGCAGTGGAAAAAAAGTCACGATACGTCGCAACACGTCAGTGACATTGCGAGTTTGACACCCCTGATGTAGGGGATTGTACTGTAATTCCATCTTTATCATCACATGTTACTTAAGGGAGATTTTTTTTCTTTCCCTACTAAGAATTCTGTCCAATAGTTGGGTTTGTCTGGATCAAATGCTCCATTATGGTTTTTTGTTCTTTTTTCATAGAGGGGAAAAAAATCTTCTATTTATTTACTTTTAGCCTTTTTTTTCTCTTTAATAAGTGTTCAGTGGGGATAAAGTAAAGCTGCAATAGCCAATATTACTTCCAGAGCCACAATTACTGCCAAATATTACTATTTGATTGATAAATAAGATTATTACTGATTGCAGTTTGGTGGTACCTGGTTAGTGCTCACTGACACTCACAAAAAATGCCATCCAGAGAAAAAAATATTCAAAGGAAGTGTTGTAGTTGTTCAAAAGGAAAAGAATCCTAAATTTAAGACTTAAAAATCAGAAAAAAACCCTCATCTGCCACAATTACACAAAGTTTCATCCTACTCCTAACCCTAAGTTAATTCTAAATTAAATAAAGTAAATGCATTAATATACATGTACTTCAGTTTTGTTAGTTTTATGACATTAATACACTTTGCAGAGCCTCTAGTAGAAACTTTGTTTTTTTAAAAAAAAATCATTTCAATCAGACAGAAGTTTGAAAAGGAATTATGTAAAGAGGCTCAGGACTTTGTTGTCAGTCTGGGTGTCCATCAGCAGGATAGCTCTCCAAAACTGAAACTAAAAGGAGCCAAATTTGATATGATGGAAGAAACCAGCAAAAGAAATTTGGGGTTTAAAAGTGGTCCAATTGTGAAAAAGAAAATAATTCCAGGAAAAAACATCCCCCAGTGAATTCTTATGGAAGATGCAATTGATTAGGGTTCAGAATGATATTAGAATGGCTTCCTTCCGGTCACATGCCCCAAAATGAAATCTATGCAGTCCATCTGTTTTCATCTGCACATACAAGTGCAGATCAATTCAAGACAAGGGAGAGCATAAACATACCCATACATAAACACAGGTGCAACACATATCTCCCACACAGAACCAAATACAGACACTTCCTATAGCCTTTGCTGCAAATTGACCTGGAAAGAATTGTAGGAGCCGTGCTTGCATGCTTTCCTTAACTTGTTGATTCTGGGCAAGAAAGCAACCAACAACAAATTAACTTCCTGATTCTGAGCCGAGCATTCACTGACACAGATTGATTTTGGATGCTAGACTTGGTGGATCTTATAGGAGACTCTTCAGCCAGGAAATGTGTATCAGCTGCACTTCTGTAGCTCCAGCTAGATCTGTTCTCTCATTCCCTTACTTTCCTCATGTTGCAACACAACAAACAGGAATTGTCAGTCAAAAGCAGTCATTGGCCCTGAAAAAAAAAGCCAAAAGTTTGATCCCGTCACCTTTTGCTGGATACATGCAGTACTAGTTGGGCTGATGGAAGATTTATGGCTAGGTGTGCCATGGGCGACTTAGACATTCTGGGAATCAGCAGCCTGGACTCCCTAATTTCACTATTATGGTGTTCTAATCCTTTAGGGCAAGTGGCTGTTCTGCTTTTAGATGTGATGGTCTCACTCTCAGTTCTGTATTTTCTCTTTCTTCTTTTACATGAACTTGCTACCAAGCCAAGATGAAACTCCATAGTAGTGTTTCTCAGTGTTTGGCAACTTTTAAGATGTGTGGATTGCACCTTCCAGAATTTCCCAAGAGTTGAAGTCCACATATTTTAATTATCAAGGTTGAGAAACACTGTTCTGGAGTCATTGTACTGCCATTGGCATCCATCACCACCTCCATCAGCTCCCTCCTTCCAGCTTAGCAGGGAGGCAAGGCGGCACGCCCTCTGATCTTCCTCCCTATGATCTTCCTCGGTGTTTCTCTCCAGATCTACAGTAATGTCTTCGATCTAGACCTTTTCTTTCAATCACAAGTATTTCTTTTCAATTGAGAATAATTGCCAGGGCTGGTCAGGTTTACCTTTTTATTGTTTCACATTGTTTATTGTTTTATTGTTTCAACTTTCATTCTTCCATCCGCCTGGGCGCTGCCCTTCCCTAACTGAGGAAGCGCTAAGGAAATGTGTGGCATTTCTCTCCGCAGAGCCCACCAGGAGTGTGTGTGTGAGAGGGGAGGGGGAAAGAAAAATGTGTGCAGTGTCTTATCGTCTTATCCTTGCCGTTTATGCTGACACAAACAGATTTACACGCGCGCACCCTCCACAGTGATCCGCCACCTCAGTTGCCATCGCGGGCGATATTCGCGATTATTTGAAGGAGCGAGAGGGAAGCAGCCACGAAGTGGGCGAGCGGAGGGAAGCGCTCAGTGGCGAGCATCGGAGGAGGGGTCCGTTGGCAGAACACGCCCGATCCCCGCGGGCCATAAGGCGCCGCCGGTGAGTTAGGAGGCGGAGGAGGGACTAAGGGAACAAACCTGAAGCAGGTGTGAGGTGCTGGAGAATTGCCAACGTACAAGGTGTAGGCGGCGGCTCTTCCCTCAGAGTACAAAGCTTCTGCCCCGGGGATTTGGTGGGGGGGGAGGGGGGAGAGAACTACGAGCGCGCAATTGGCGAGGCTGCGAACAGGCTGTGCGCTTTCAGGCTCGGGGTCAAAACTAGAGGCGTAACCTAGGGGCGGATCCAGCTGAACTGGGCTTGACAGAAGGGAAAAGTGGAAGGAGGACAAAGCGCAACAGCGCACAAGCTTGAGGCCAGGCTGTTAATGCCCGCGATCGTCGAGGTCGCGGTGGGGCGCACTGAGCTCTGAGTGGCTGGCAGGAGGCAGCGCATCCGTTGGTGAGAGCCAGACGGGCGCCAAAGATCTACAGGATGGCGAGAGTCTTGAAGACGCTGCACTAGAGCCGATCTTGCGCACTCTTAACCACGGAGGAAGCGGGGCTAAGGGGAAGAGACGGTCAGCTCCTTCAGGTAAAGGGCCGCTTTGACACCTTTGGAAAGCCGCGGGGAAATTGAGGGTGCGAAGCTGCATACACCCCATAGCTGGCCCGGACTTTTTTCTGTGTGCACTGAGTAGCCATCTTACACTAGGAGGGTGTAAGGGTCCACCAAAGGGCCACAGGGATGCCCTGAAATACCCGCGAGGGGTGACCGGCTGGCAGAGTAGGTGGGCGTGTTAGGATGACGGAAGTCAGCCAAGGCGAAATCTGGGAGCGGGTTACTCGCGTCTTCAGACGGCCGCTTCAAGCCGTGTCAGCCTCACTTCGCTTACCTGCTGCGCGAAGACCCTCGCTTCTTCGGAGGCGGTCAAATAGCGGAGCAGGAGAAGGCGGCTCCTCGTCGCCGGCTCATTCCTGCCCGCCTCCTCTTGCTCTGGCTTCGTGCGTCCGTCGGTCCCTCCCTCTGTCTCCAAGCCTCTCCACCCCTTTCTCGATCTTCCACCCATTCACCCTTCGAGTGGATTTAGGGGCTTTGGTGAATGTGGATCCTTGTTTCGGGGGGGGGACGTGGGGGCGGGGAAGGGGTGGGGACTCGGAGCTTTGGAAATAGCGTCGGGTCCTCTCTTACTGCCACTGATTTGAGCTTCTTCTCCTTAGGCTGCAGGAAGGAACCGCTTGGCATTTCTGCCCGCGTTCCCACCGCCGCTGCCAGCCGCTTGGATCAGCGCAGGCAGAGGCGGCGTCCCATAGCCGAGGGGCTTTGGGACTGCAAGCCCCCGCCGCGTTAGCAGGGCGCACGAGGCGTCAGGTCAGTCGCGAGCGAGCGAGCGCCGGGTCTGGGCACTGGGCGCGTCTCGAGCTCCCCGAGGGCAGAGCCGCCTCCCTTCGAGGGAATCACCAGGGTGGAAGGTCTTGCGCCCCTCCTTCCGCGTCTGGCGAGACGATCGGGAGGTGAAGAGGGCAAGAGGGAGGGGAAGAGAAGTTGGGGGGAAAGTCGCCTCTTGCCTTACCAACTGCTTTCCATTCTTCCTTCCGTGCTATAGGCAGGCGCCCTGCTGAGCCTTTCCCTGGGAGAGTTGTGCAACCGGCTTAGGAGAAAAAAGCGGTGAGGATTTCCGCGCATTTCGTCCATCTGTGCCGCTGGTGCGACTTCCTTGTTAGTTTTTCCGCTGTTGGCTCCCCCCCCCCCCCCCCCATGTTAACCTCTATTTGAACATGGCAAGGACAGTATCTCCTGGAAATGGATTCAGTGTGGGAAAAAGCACAGGAAAGCAGAGCTAAATGACAGGATGCGGGAGACTTAAGGAGATAGTCGAGAGAGAGAAAAAAAGAGAGAGAGAGAGAGCGCCTACTGCAACCGACAAGACTTCTGGTGCTACTACTACAGTTGTTTTCAGCTGAATCAGTTTTCTGTTTCTTTTGAACTGCCCGTGCTGAAGAAGGATTTAAGATCTGAGAGGAACTCCGCGGAGAGATAGGATAATCTTGTTCCCTTTGTTCAGACCTCCTGTATCCAAAGCAGAAGATGGCCTGGGGTCTACTTTTGCACTGTGCAGCCCTCCTAGTTGCCCTTGGCAGAGCTTTGAAGAGTGGTAAGTGACTGAAGATCACTTTCAGGTGCATCCAGTTTGCTATCTGCAAGTTGGAAGTCCCTTTGCTTGAGATGATAAGCCAACCAACCACGAAACAGTTTTAACTGTATTGGCTAGCAGGAAAGGTTGACGGATATGCTGGGTATTCATTGAGAATTACACCTAATCAACACACTTAGTCTGTCAGCCCTTCCTTTTTGGCTCCATACTCTAATGCAATATGTAACACTGGGCATACGGCTCTCACATAATAGCCAATCATTTTAATGTTTCCTTCCCTTGGCAGTTGCACAAGATTCTCCAGAAAAATTAAACAGATGAGTATTTCAATACGCAAGTATTGTTTCTGAGGAAGTGAAAGCTAAGGGAGGTACGGGTATATAACTATATAACCATCTTTGCTAACCATGCAGATAAAATTTCCCTCATTTGTTCTTATGAAATGAAAAATGGCTTGTCTGTCAGTGCAAGGAATATAAAGTATTCTCCTTCAGAGGCAACAGTTCTAAGAAAGAATTCCCTCAAATAGTCTTTGTATCTGGCCTTGAGGCAATGCTTGATAGCAGCAGCCTCAAAACAACAAGGGTTTCTGGCACAATAGTGGTCAGGCATCTGGAATATCTCATTATATTATGCATTCTTTAAAATGTTCTTACTTTAGGAGTGGCTGGCATTTAACTTGCATGCATGGAGTGGGGAAATCACCTGGGTTTTTCCTCTCAGAACCAAGTCTGAGCAGTTATTAGCTAATTACTAAATATTAACTTCTCAGCTTGACTAGGATTTCAATCAAAGTAATTAAAAGAGGGACATCCTCCACTGTACTTCGGGTGGTATATTGTTTTAATAAGCGACTGCGTGTAGTGTGTGTGTCTTACAGGAACAGATTTAAATCACATGTTATGAGGGAAATTAATCTTTTTCCAATATGGTCTGAGGAAGTTAACTAATTTGGTCAAAGCAACTCAACAAGTTCTCTTATCTGCTTCTTCAGAAACATTCTAGTAGGATCTGGGAATCAGTTTGCAGGGAAGTATTTGTACATTGGAAATCGTGATTCAGTTTCAGTGATGTTTTGGAACTAGACCTTCTCTTTCAAACTCAAGTCTTCCTTTGCAGGGATTACAGGTTCAGGCTGTGCATCTTCAGTGATTCATAACTAGTACTGAATTTAACTGATATGTATAAATCAGAAGAGAATCATTAAAAGTGAGATGTACTAAATGCCTTCGTGCCATCAAGTAAAGTTCTTGGATGAGCTGAATCTAGGAAGACACTACAATGCTACCATTGAGTCTGAGCAATTGGGGGCAAAATATTTTTAGCCCCACTGAAGTCATCGCAGTTCTTTGGATCTGCAACAATTCAACAGATCCACCAATGCCAGATCTCCCTCTGCCCAATTCAAGTGTCTGCTAAATTAATTCATTAACCCTATTTAGAGCTAATGGTCCAAAGTCATTAGAAACTGCTTCTCTTAATCAAGTAAGAGAGAGATTTCACAGAGCCAGAGAGTCTTAACGGCCCACATTAGCTTATTATATTATCACTTTCCCAGGAGATAGCGATTAAAGTGTTATTGGTAGTTAGTCCACTAAATATTTCCTGGAGTGACTCTGTCAAGTAATTCACTGGTTTATTTCAGCCATTTCACAGATTTCAGATTCTGCCATGTTGTTTGCCTAGTATTAGAGAAGACTTAATGAAGCGGGATAGTTTTCTTCCTAAGTGTGCTACAGATGGCAAATCATGCCAGATTGTCTCTCAGGTCACATGCAAAAAGGTTTGCAGAGGAATATCATTGGCTGCTCATTTTGAACTCCTAATGACAATATCTTTTGTTCTCAGGGAAGAAACAGGCTATGCAGACTGCCAAAGCAGGGATAAATAGGAACATACCACCAACTCAAAAATCATAATTTGTTGAAGGAAATAAACCATCTTGTTCTCTTCTAATTTATGGCAGATGTTTCCCATAATTGCTGTAGTTGATGCATTTTATGTACTCTTGTTTTCAAACTGACCCAGTTTTCTCTAATAAAATTCTGCACATCAATAATTCCATGTTAAGAACTATTGATAACCATGTTCGTATCACCAGATTTCTCTTAGAAGCAGGATTCCAACCTCCATATGCCATTCCTGGGAAAATGTTACGCATTGCAAGCTGCATATGCTTGGTTCTGTGATGTTAGTGGGATATCGATATCATTGCACTAGATTAGCAGTCCATAATTTTTAAAATTAATTAGCGCAGACTCACAAGCAACAGTGGCATTATTTACACTAGAGGTTCACGAGTTGTCTTTTCTTCCATCTTTATAATTCTGTAAATTGTAGTTAATCCTAACATAGAGTTGTGAGTCAGAACACTTTTACTCAAGAACAACTCATGAGATTTGGAGGACTGGGGAAGGCAAGAATTTTGTAATTGGAACTAAAGTTTGTTTTCTTTTCCTTTCTGCTTTGCTAACCCTTATCTGCTCCCCAAGCAGCATAGGTGGGGGAAACTTCCGTAATGGAGCTAAGTAAACCTTTACTGCTTTAACAATGTGCTTTGTTGCTGAGTAGTCTGGACCTCTGGAGCACAGATAAGTTCGAATTGCTTAGATTTATGATAAACCAGAAAGGAAGGGATGCTGTAAACAAGCCAGATTGTCTAATGACAAAGAACAGGCTCATTATCAGAAAGCTAACACTAAAGGCAGCCAGGCACAGTGTCCCTTCAAGTTGCTCCCTGTGTAAAATTTGATATATAATACCATTGTAGCTACATAATCTATAATTAAGGTATACTACTATTCGGCCCTGTTAGTATTTTCTATACTGTAGCTATTAAGTAACAAAAGCTTAATTTGGGTAAAAGATATTTGGTAAAGCTACCCAATTTGTATTTTTAAAAAAATGATGGCCTGAAAGAAGATGAAGTTGATTCAGCTGTTTATTTTCTTTACAGAGGGGGAAAAAATCTATAAACAACTGCATAAATAGTTGTACAAGCTATGGGAAAGGAAATATATTAGCCTGAGTTGACTTGAGCTGAAGTACCCGAATGGCCTGTTATTTATAAGATGGGTTAATCAAATGATGTGATTTCTATATAACACATGAATGTTTTGTGTGTTTTAATTGCAGATCGATGTGGTGAAAACATAAAAATTTTAGAGCCTGGATATCTCACCTCTCCTGGCTATCCTAATAGTTATCATCCAAGTCAAAAATGTGAATGGTTGATTCAGGCTCCTCAACCTCACCAGAGGATTATGATCAACTTCAACCCACACTTTGATTTAGAGGACAGAGAATGCAAGTAAGTAAAACCGGTCTGTACGGGGAACCACAGCACCATCTAGTGGACAAAAGACATTCATGATGTCTTCCTCAGGGGGTGGGGAGTTGAAACAGCTTATAAGTGTGAAATTATGTGTGCAAAATTCATTTCTTGGAGATGTGACTTCAGATTGGACCATGTGTTTGTGCTACGGATATAAAAGCAAATGCACATTTCATACCATAGTAGGCACTGTCGTAGTTATAATCTTAGAATCTATCTGCTTATTTTGTTGGGACCTTGGACCAATTAGCAGTTATTTCTTCTGAAACTTGCAAAGGGAAAAAGGCAATTGCTCATTTTTTAAAAAATGTTATAATTATGAAAAGAAAAACACAGTCTTGATGCTTTTTTAAAAAACAAGCTCACCTTATTGACTAATTGTAATTCATTTTTTGTTCTTTTGATGGCAGTGATCATATTTATAAGAGAGTGGAAGAAGCCTGTATTTCTGTATATGTATTTTAGAGATTTCCCTTATTGTAATTAGAAAATATTGGTAAACCTTCAAGAAAAGTATATTGATTAACAAAAATATTTTTCAATATGAATTGCTGAGTTAGCTGAGAATTTGACAATTATACTAATAAGTATATAGTTTATACAATGTAATGTATAAAATGCTTTATAGCACTAATATCTAATGAAAATTTAGTTATGATTAAGGTGTTTCACTGGTTAGGTCACTCTTTATTACGGAGGCTCAGTAGGTGACTTTGGGCTAGTATTTCAGTTTTCTTGTTGTGAAGAAAATTAAGATAATCACACAGTTGCACTTTAGAGAAACAGCATAATGTAAATGTAATAATAAATACATGAAATGATCTAAAGTAGCATTAATTCTGAGATCAGTATGAAATAATTTATTTAAGCAATACTCTCACACCATCTGCTGAAAGTAGGCACTTTTCATTTTCAGTGTGGGAATATGTGTTCTTTATATAAAAATGTAGTCCATCAGAGAAGACTTGAGAACTAATTTGCCCTCTGGGTTTATATGTAAAAAGTGGTGAACCATTAGCTTCCAGATGTTGTTGGATGTTCCTAGCAGCCATAACCCACATAGTCAGTATAAGAGGTGCTAACATTGTAGTTGAGCAGAAATTGGAGGCTCATAGGCTGCTCATAGAGGTTTTGTTATAAATGATGTGGAATTCCATGTGTGAATACGCTCAAGTTCTTCCTGTAAGATAGAATGTGAGCCAATTGAAGCTGTGAGTCTTGGTAATCGTCAAAAGACCCTATGTCATAAATTAATAATACTTCCATTGTGCAAATGGGATGAAAGATAAGCCAGACCCTTTTTCTGACTAGGGACTGTTTCTGTTGCTTTTGTTACAAAATTAGAGGAACAGATTCAAAATCATTGCTGGATAAAGTGATTAAATAAGGAAACAATTAGTATTAATTATCCTGCTATTAATAGCCTCACTTTTAGACAAAGTGAGGCTGTGGCCTCGAGGAGTAAATGTTGTGTGTTCTGAAGGGACAGCTAACATGGTTGTCTTGTATTTTAAACACGGGGAAGGGAAGAGATACCCTTATTTTGCATTGACCAATGCTTTGTGAGCTTCTTTATAATACACTCTGCTATACATGGGTCCACTCTTGACTTGGAAAATACAACTTATCCAGAATGCAGTTCCGTGACACATCACAATGTGCTCTGCATGTGACACCTATGCTCTGCAATCCACACCAGTTTTCAGAGAGTTTCCAGGTGAAATTAAAGATGCTGGTTGTCATTTATATCTACACAATGGCTCTTCTTTTCTCCAATTATCTTTGTCCTGTAAGATGAGACAGGATGGGCATATTCCACATCTCTTCCATTAAAGAAGGGTTGAGGGTTCCCAGAGATGTGCCTTCTCTGTTGCCACTCCTGGAATCTGGAATATCATTTTTCATAAGATAGAATGTAGAATTATAGGGCTGGAATGGGAGCTCAGAGATATTCAAGTCCAATCCCCTGCTCAAGGCAGGAAACCTTATACTAACCAGGTCAATTGGCCATCCAGTCTATTTTTTAAAATCTCCAGTGATGCAGCACCCGCAACTCCAGGAGGTGAGCTATTCATTCCACTGATTAATTGTTCTCACTGCCAGTAAATTTCTCCTTAGTTCTAGGTTGGATCTTTCTTTAATGATTTCCACCCATTACTTTTTGTCCTGCCCTCTGGTGCTTTGGAGAACAAATCAATCCCCCTTTCTCTGTGACAGCTCCTCAAGTACTGAAAGGCAGCTATCATGTTACCCCTAATTATACCTACTTTCCTTAAGTGTTCCTCATTTGGTTTAGTCTCCAGATCCCTTATCATTTTTATTGCTCTTCACTGTACATTTTCTAGGATCTCAGCCTTTTTACATTTTCTAGGATCTTCAGCCTTCCATGTGTGGCCTCATTAGTGGGGTATAAAACTGTATTATCACTTTTCGTGATCTAGATGCTATACCTTTGTTGATGCAGCCTAGGATTACATTGGCTTTTTTGGCAACTGCAGCACATTCCTGGGTCATCCACTGCTGGTTCATCCTTATGAAGATACCTAGATTCTCTCTCAATTACTACTGTTGAGCCAGGTACCGCCTATTCTATAACTTTGGTTTTTCCTGATCAAGAATGACTGGAAAACCTGGCTTTTTAAACAGAACATGAGCCAAGAAGTTTTGTGATCCTGCCAAGTGATGACTGATGAAGGCTGTTGATGGCCAAACTGATGTTTTATGTATTTCCTCATAGCATCGTTTCATTTTTATAGCTTCTGCATTCTGATTGTATGTTTCTATTGAGTTTTTAACATAAGGCACCTTGAGTATTTCTGATTTGGTGGCATTTTAAGTGTAATAAATAAAGAACACTTGTGTGGGAGGAATACTCTATATAGGTTGCCCCTGGAAGCAAAATCTCTATGGCTGGCCCTAACTAATGAGCAGATTGCATCGCCTGACACAGGTAAGTGATTGAATGATTAGTGAGCAGGAACTGTAAAATAAGGCTACTTGTTTAGGGTATTTGGCAGGCAGGAGAGAAAACACCTTGATGATCTAAGGCTGATGAAAAGGAGCTTGAATCTGCCAAACAAGTGGGACCAGAATTTCCATCGTAAGTCATTGCAGTTGTAAGTCAAGTCACCACAAGACTTGACCTGATTTTAATAACATTTTTACAGCAATCATAAGTCACCATGGCCATTTAGCAAATCATGCAGTCATTAAGTAAATCCAGCTTCCCCAGTGATGTTTTTTACTGGAAACCAGCAAAAAAGTCACAAATTGTGATAATGTAATCACAGGATGCTGTGACCAATCATACATATAAATCAGTTGACGGTTTCCAAATGGCAATCACATGACAAAGACTGTGTTGCAATGGGGATAAATGTGAATTAAAAGTCATATGTGGCTTTTTTGAAGGTTGACATAATTTCAAACTGTTGTTAAAATGAGCGGTCATAAAACGAGAACTACTTGTATGGATTTCTAAAGATCAATGGAGTCATAGTTGCTAAATGTGACAATTGGGGAGATTTTAGAATGAGATTTTTAAAGAAATGTTTAAAGCCGCTCTTCTTTTTTCTGCAATTCAAAGAAGAAATATACATTAATGTAATATAAATAATTTAGTATTTATTTAGAAAAGCTGCTGGATGGCAGTGTAACAGTACAGTTAATGAGATGCTATATTATAGCACTCTATGACCATCCTATAGAGGTAAAAAGTTAACAAACTTGGCTTGGTCTAGGTGTATTGCACCCATGGGCATAATGCATTTCTTCCTTTCTGCAGAATATTTGCTCCCTTTAGTGCATGTTTTGAAACCTAATTAGTGTCTTTTTTTTAACTCCACTCTAATTGGGCAGTTTTGTTGTCAGGCAAAGATAGGTAATTTTACAGCCAAAAGCTTTGTAGGCAGACCTACTTAAATCGGCCTTTCATTGTACAACTTAAATGCTTCCTGTGTTATTTTGTGTTCTGTTTTAAATACTGACCCTTTGACTTTTACATTACGACAATTAAACTCAATTGAAGAGATTTGTGTCAAAGGAGCAAATTTGTCAAAGCAGAATTCTTCTCTTTCACAGGAAATTTTAAAAACTCTGTTCAAAACCGCAAAGAGCCTCACATTTTTCAGAAATTGCTATTTGTTTTGCCAGATTCTAGGTAGTGAGATACTATATTAGTGCAGTTGTCAAAAAGTCTTGGTTTTTTAGCATTAAGCAACCTATTATTCTCCAATTCTAGGTTTTCGTTTATTATCACAGCTGTATAGATAAAATATATAATATTGCAATCAAAGCAGTTGATGTTTTAGCTTCAAAAGCCCCACACTCTTACACATGAATATATATATATATATATATATATATATATATATATATATATATATATATATATATATATATATATATATATATATATGTAACCTCAAACCAGAGATAACAAATTACTGCTTTTGATGAAAGAAGTGCAAATAAGAGGTTTGTGTTTATTGTTAAATGTTAATTGCATTTGCCCCTTAATAACAGTTATGGAGACATTGGAAGGTGATAACAATTGTCACATTGAAGCTCTCTAAGAGCAGCTATAGCCCTGCCTGTGTCTGAGCAAACAAACACAGGGGACAGCCCAACTGAGACTAAACAATTCTCTTGTTTTTATTACAGTCTGGCTTCAGTAACAATCAGGGTGTTGCTGCGTTTGCTGCTTCTGTTGTCTCCTTAATCATCTCACTTTATGCAATTCTCTTTTCCTCCCTTTAAGCTGCTTTCATGTCTCCAGGAATTTGTATCTGGATTTCTTTCTTTTTCTCTAGCCTCGTTTGGGCCTAGCAGGCTTTCTGCAAGTCTCCCTTTATGTTTTATCTTTTTCTTGCTTCTTATCCAGCCTTTCTCCTTCTCCGCCCAGAGACGCCTAAGGCCTAATAGGCTGCAGTCCTTCTCTCAACAGTATCCTCTACATCTTCACTTTTATTTCTCAA